GCACTCTTCAGCGCCTTCGCCAACCTCCTCCTCCTCGTGGTCTGAAGCTTAAACCTGCTCGGTTTCGGGGCAATCTGATTGGTCGGCTTAGGGGCAATCTGATTGGTCGGCTTAGGGGTAATCTGATTGGTCGGGTTTCGGGGCAATTTGATTGGTCGGTTTCGGGTAATCTGGTCGCGTTCCGTGGTTTCTGGACGCATGCCCTTTCCTAAGTAGATATTGACTGTGATCGAGGGGTCGTGAGATGAACGTTGAACTGGATTTGGGCTTTAGCTGGAGTGCTGACTCCGATTAAAAGGCAATCGGATTGGATTTATTCGCAGGACTATATATTTAAATATTATTGCTTGCAGAGTACAAGGATGCCATTTCAGATCTTACCTTGTATATTAAATGCAAGTTAAATAATTTTGCATGAAACATTAAAGCAATAATAATAACATGTTTATTATTCTTGCCTCATACAGGCGCTGAATATGGTAATGCCGATCCGGATGTTACCATACGAAGAGATCCTCGGAGCCGACTTCGTGGAACACAACATTCGACACGTGGCGATCGACTACGATGCCATCGTGAGGGCCTTGGAAATCCGGGGACACATCGTGAAAGAGCCATGGTGTCATTCCATGCATCCAGAGCATCAGGTTAGAGGTGTCGTCGGGTCAAATTCCAAATTACCCGACAGTCCTAACGGAAAAATCACCCCCGATCACATGCTCTGTCGCATGTGAGAGGCATGTGATTATTCGCCTCACACCCTATCACACCCAGTGTTATATCCCCCTCCACTTGTGTGAAGGATTGGATCTGCCAAGCGATTTCCATCTCACACCCCTCGTCATATAAGATTGAGAATGAGCAAGGGTGTCACACTTGTGATTCCATTAATCTCCGGTCACAGGCCTGCTAACCCAGCATGTGATCGGTCGTTCCCGCTCTGTCACACCCCGTGTCTCATCGGAATGTCGGGTGCTCGGGTGTCTGTACAGACATCACTAATAGAAACAGAATGTGTGCTTGCTTTTCTATTAGAATTTAGAGGAAGCTATAAGAGTACTGTTTGGGAAATAATATAGACCACAATGGTTGGCAAGGGTGCCGTGGGAGTTGGAAAATTTTATGTTCGCCTGTCAACAAAGGATTGCAATGAGGCAATTTAATTAGTGCATTCGTTCCATTCATTCCAGTGTATCCATTCGTTTTCGAGCTTACAATCTCAGCTCAGAGCTCATTTGATGAACCTCACCTCTCGGGCTCGTCTCAGCAGGTTGGGGAATTGAACGATTAAAATAAGATTAGATTTTGCTTTTAACTTGACAAGTGCTTCAGGCCGAATGAACGGAACTCAAAACTGAGATTCTTGAGATTCTGAACCTGGGAAGTTGATCAGTGGGCAGCATAATGAGTTCTCTGACTCTGATATCGACGACCAGTTTTGTTGGACGTGGAATCCTCATCTCTGTTCAGCGCCAGAGGGACCTTAGGGCGTGGTTCCTGAACCTCAAAGGGACTGGGAGGATCTGCTCGTCCACGGGGAACGTGAAGCCAAAACACGCAAGGAAACTGGAGGAGGGAGAGCAGAGAAGGTTCTTCAGAGTGGAATGGAGGGCTCTGCGCCTCCTCAGTTCGCGGTCGCGGAAGGTGACTCCATCGCTGGCTTCTGTCGGGTCTCATCTGAGAGCTCCATCTCCAGGCGATTGACGTTCCGATTCCGAAGCGAGATTTAAAAAACGTGTTCGAGCATGAAGATCTCGCGGTCATGGATGAATCGTATACCCACGCACGGACGCATGCCGTGTTCCACCACTTGTCTCTCTTTGAATGCGTATCCTCACCGAAATGCATCGTTCGTTTGAGACGCCATAAGATGCTCATCGTTAAATGCAGGGCAGTTCAGAAGCCAAAATGTCACTAGACATATGTCTCTGGGCAATAAAATTCGAAGTGAATCCTCTACGAATCTTGAATTACTAATATTATCAGGGCAAGCGAGTCAGCATGGCTTGGCATCTATGCAATGCTCTGAAATGATATTCTAATATATTCTAATAATGTTCATAATGAATTCCATTTTCAACTGGTGACTGTGACTTCAGAATGAGGGGGAAGAAGACACTAATCCGCTAATCCGTGGCTTGAGGAAGGACGCCATCGGAAGCTCCGGCGTCCACGACCACGAATGACGAACGGCTTATTTAAGGATCCTTGATCCAATGGAGGGGTGAACAGGGGTGAACCCTCAAGGGCTGGACACGTGCCTTAAGGGATGAACCCTCCAAGGTGAACCCTTTCAGGACCAAGGGACCTATTTGTCCCATATTTTCAAAATCCTCCCAAATTTGAATGAATTA